GAGTCTTATATTATTCTTACATCACGCTAAGTTAGGGCAAGGCGATGCAGCTAGTGCTATAGCTTTTTGAATAATATCTAGAATACTTTTAGTGAAAACTCTTGTGTCAGAAAGATGTCCCATCTTTTGCTGACAGGTTATGAAGATGTCCCATCTTTTCTTAACCAGTGGAAGCTTAAAAGGAGTCTTATATTATTCTTTATACATCACGCTAAGTTAGAGTAAAGCGGTGCAGCTATAGCGCAAGTTTTTAGAATAATATATCTAGAATACTTTTAGTGAAAACTCTTGTGTCAGAAAGATGTCTCATCTTTTGCTGACAGGTTATGAAGATGTCCCATCTTTTCTTAACTCCTTCCTGACAGGCCCAATTTGCGTCGATCGCGAGCGATCGACGGCTCGAAATTTCATACTTTCGGTTCAGTGCATGCTATGAAGACAGAAATACCACCATTCGATTCAGAAATAAAATATCAACTAGTTCCAAACGATAGTTATAGTCATTATTAGTATTGTAACGATTTATGGGCCTTTGAAAGTCAAAACGATCATATTGTATCAAATTACGCAATTGTCTGAACAAAAATACAGATTATTATAGACTAGCCATACCTTTCGCCGAAAATAACTTCGGCCCCATCGAACATATCGTCTTTGTAATAGTCTTGTTCGAATCCCCATTAAATAGTGTTTTTGGAGTGTTATTTGCAACCCTGAATCTACAAATCTGTATCTTTTATCAATATATTTCCATTTCTTGTCCGACTGTGAGCTCGAAGTGAATTAATCCCAACCGGAAATACGACTCAAAACCGTCAAAACAATGCGGCGTTTGTATCGTATGACCCTGGAAAGGCCAGAAATGGATTCGCAAGGTCAAATTGCACCTACACGCGTGAGTTTGACGTCATCCCGGCCAAAGGAGCTTCTTATTGGCCAATTATTGCGCAATGTACGCAAGTGCGAGTAAAACCCGACACTTGAAAAATTCAAAATAAATATTTCTAGTCGGCGTATACATACGAAACTTTCTACACGAAAGCGCTTGAATACAGAGAGTATTTTACACGTATAGCCGTTTAGCAAATGACGAAAAGTTCAAGGGGTATTCAAGATCTTGTGGATATGAAATTTAGAATCTTTGGCCAAGCGGTGAGTAAATATATGATTGTTTCGCTTTGTGTAATGTTTTGACGGCACTTGACCCCCCGTTCGAAAGGTTATTTTATGAGGATTTCAATGGTGTCATTTATTTAAAAGGGGGGTAAATACTCGCCGAGATATTTATATTAGAAAAATTGAATCGAAATGTAATGCGAAACCGGCCTGTCAGGAAGGAGTTTCTTAACCAGTGGAAGCTTAAAAGGAGTCTTATATTATTCTTTATACATCACGCTAAGTTAGAGTAAAGCAGTGCAGCTTTAGCGCAAGTTTTTAGAATAATATATCTAGAATACTTTTAGTGAAAACTCTTGTGTCAGAAAGATGTCTCATCTTTTGCTGACAGGTTATGAAGATGTCCCATCTTTTCTTAACCAGTGGAAGCTTAAAAGGAGTCTTATATTATTCTTTACATCACGCTAAGTTAGAGTAAGGCGGTGCAGCTTGCGCTATAGGTTTTGGAATAATATCTAGAATACTTTTAGTGAAAACTCTTGTGTCAGAAAGATGTCTCATCTTTTGCTGACAGGTTATGAAGATGTCCCATCTTTTCTTAACCAGTGGAAGCTTAAAAGGAGTCTTATATTATTCTTTATACATCACGCTAAGTTAGAGTAAAGCGGTGCAGCTATAGCGCAAGTTTTTAGAATAATATATCTAGAATACTTTTAGTGAAAACTCTTGTGTCAGAAAGATGTCTCATCTTTTGCTGACAGGTTATGAAGATGTCCCATCTTTTCTTAACCAGTGGAAGCTTAAAAGGAGTCTTATATTATTCTTTATACATCACGCTAAGTTAGAGTAAAGCGGGGCAGCTTTAGCGCAAGTTTTTGGAATAATATGTCTAGAATACTTTTAGTGAAAACTCCTGTGCCAGAAAGATGTCCCATCTTTTGCTGTCAGGTTATGAAGATGTCCCATCTTTTCTTAACCATGCAGTGAGGCAGTGGAAGCTTAAAAGGAGTCTTATTGACTTATATTATTCTTTACCCCACATCGCAAGCGCGGGGTAAAATAAAATAAAATAACTCTTACAAATCCCGTTCAATGCAGTTATTGTTTTTAGAATAATATATATAGAATATACACGCTTGTGAAAATGGTGATATAACGTTTGTGCCAGATTGATGTGCGCACTAGGGCCAAGGCAAAGACGGTATAAGCTAGTTTTTGGATTTATATATATATAATACTATGAAGATTCCTACATCATATATGTATCGAAAACGTTTGTCCGCACAGCATGCACGATTGTTGTACGCGATTAAAACCGGACTTTTTATACTGCCAAGATGTTTATACTGCCAAGAGTTTTAGTCTATATCACTGTCCAATGACACTATTAAACAATAGTATTATATGATTTAATGTCAACCTTAGCAATTCAGTATTTGTATTTATTAATGACAAGGTATTTTATAATATCGGAGTATGACTCTATATCTATACGAAAAGCCCCAATTACCATGCCATACTTTGTACATAAACAAAATCTAGTTTGCATGAATATTATTCACGCTACTCTCTAATATATCAAGAACATTTTGCTTTACAACACACGAGTCTTATTACATATCCGATACGCAGCCTTGTCACGGCGCTATGGCCCGGCCTATATAGGTGACTTGTCAACAGTCAGCATTCATCCTGACATATTTGTACGCTTTTATTTTAATGTATAACAGAAAATTAACTTATTACTTGCTTGGTTTCACACTGCGTTTAAGCAACTGAACCTGGATTGATGACATCTTATAGCGCTAATTAATAATGCGATTAGCGTTGCTCGCTTCCTGAAGTTGCAAACTCAGTTTGCAGATCCCGCTGTTTTTCAAAACGTGCGGGTCGTCATGTCAAAAAAGAAATAAAGAGAAAGAAAGGAAAAACAGAAAGGAAGAAAATGAGAAAAAATGACATAATTGAATAATAAGC